CTTATGAAGAGGAACTGATCTCATATATTTGTATCAGAACTGTATTTTTATGTTGTATTGTATAGTTTGCTCTCCTGTCCCTCTCCTTAAAACTGAATGGTGCCAATAATTTGATACTAATGACTATAAAAAAGGTAATGCCTCATTTACTAGTATTGTGGTAAAATGAGGAATGTAAGGGAATATTCAGACAACCGAGGACTAACCCTTTAAGTGCTGAATCTTTACAATTTTAATATTTTTTTTTGAGGGAAATCTTTCTAAAATGTATTACACAGTTCCCTGCCTTAGTAAACAGAGTATACTGGAGAGCATTTAACCCTTTCTTGATGAGTCATGGTCATGGTTATAAACATCAGCCCCTTTTGTACCTTGGTACGGTGCAGTGATACCATCAAGAGCTATCAATATGTGTAGGGCTTGGCTTGGCCTTTTATAGGATATTATGGTTTTTTACTGCTCTCTGCTCTATCAGTGGAGCTATCCGGGGCAATTGTAGCGTTTGGGGCCTTTTACCCCCATGTTCCCCGGCTATACTTTTAAAACAGCTTTAGCTGTTCTTTATCTCGTGCACATGATACAAAATGTGTTCCCGTACAATATGGGGCTGTCACCTCTTGCCAACCCAGCACCCTCTTCCTTTTCTAACCTGCTTTCTGAGGCTTCTGCTCTTTACCTCCTGCTCTCTGATAGAAACCTCCAGGGCAAAGCTGAAGGTTTCTTGGGGAAGCCAGGAAAGCCAGTATTTCATATGTGTCGATTTGCTTGGCTTCCGAGGAGGGATGCATGGGCTTTTTGGCCAGTGTTTCCAGGAGGCTCTGAGCTTCCTGCTTCTTCCCCGCTTCTCCCTGAGTTCACAGACTTTGAGGTTTATAAAGGTTGATGTCACTGGAAGTCTGACCACAAACAAGTTGGCTGTTACTGTATTTGAAAACCCAGTACCTTTGGCAGCTCACCTCTAACCAGTAAAATAAGAGGATTCCATGGTTTCAGCAGTTGTCCTGGTTATTTGCCTATTTAAGTGAACGATGGGTGCTTGCATTGTGACTGAGAAGATGGAATTGTGCCGGATGGATTCACAGGGATGAAAATGAATTGGCACAATCGTTTCACATTTTTTATATATTTTAAACCAAAACAACAGCACCATATGGGCACACAACACGTACCTTATGTCCAGGGGAAAGAATCAGCTTACTGACAGTCATTCCAGAGCTAGGGCTCCAAACTGCAGGCCACAGATTAATGGTGGGCATGGAGGGTTACTGTACGGGGTCTGGGAAAACTGTGATCCACAGCTTTGTGGATTGTAGACTGCATAGGAAATTCTATGTTTGAAGAGTTTGAGATCCTAGGGCATTCAGAAGATCCCACTTGTATGCACCCAGAATTTTATATTCCCCAGGAATATAGCAGAGGAATATTCTGATATCATATTTATCTTTCACCATCTCAAAAATTACAGCTTAAAAAAAAGCTCAAATAAAATTCATCACTGTAACCATTTTAAAGCGTACAATTCAGTGGTTTCTAGTGCATTCACAACGTTGAGCAAATGATACCACTATCGAATTCCAGAACATTTCCATCATGCCAAAAGGAAACCCCATATCTGTTAGCAGTCACTACTGATTCTGCCCCCCACCCGACCCCTGGCATCACCTGGCAACCACTAATCTACTTTCTGTCTGTGGATTTGCTTATTCTGGAAATTTCATATAAACAAAATCATACAACAATCTGTATTCTTTTGTGATTGGCTTCTTTCACTTAACATAGTGTTTTCAAGGTTCATCCACGTTGTAGCGTGTATCAGAACTGCACTCCTTTTTATGGCTGAATAATGTACTATTATATGGGTATGCCATATTTGGCTTATCCAGTCATCAGTTGATAGATATTAGGGTTGCTTCTGCTTTTTGGCCATTATGAATAATATTGTTATGAACATTTGTGCACAAGTTTTTGTGTGAACATCTGTTTTAAATTCTCTTGGAATTGCTGGGTCATATGGCAACTCCATGTTTAACTTTCTAAGGAACTGCCGCAATCACAGCTTTTATTTCCTACAAAATCCAAAGTGAAAAATTATATATACTAGACAGTCAGAAGCATGGGCAAATCTGTTATCAGATAGCAAGATGTGGCACTTATTTGAGGGAGGTTTTTTTTTTTTTTTTTTTTTTTTTTTTTTTTTTTTTTTTTTTTGAGACGGAGTTTCACTCTTGTTACCCAGGCTGGCGTGCAATGGCGCAATCTCGGCTCGGCGCAATCTCGGCTCACCGCAACCTCCGCGTCCTGGGTTCAGGCAATTCTCCTGCCTCAGCCTCCTGAGTAGCTGGGATTACAGGCATGTGCCACCATGCCCAGCTGATTTTTTGTATTTTTAGTAGAGACGGGGTTTCACCATTTGACCAGGATGGTCTCGATCTCTTGAGCTCGTGATCCACCCGCCTCGGCCTCCCAAAGTACTGGGATTACAGGGGTGAGCCACCGCGCCCGGCCTTGAGGGAGTTTTTAATAACAAAAATGTTGTTTCAGAGAAATGGCTTTGAGGAGGAGAGAAAATAAAGGTGCAGTCTTTCTTTTTAAAACGAAAATGAATTTAAATCAGGTTCATCTCTAAGTTTTTGTTTGCGTGGCCAGCTCTTGTATAGCCAGTGGTCTCAGAATGTTCACGCAGATTTCCTCCCCAGAAAATGTACACAGTAGAGAAAACTACAATATTTCTTAGCTATCCAGTAGAGTCACATTGGTGGGGATCAGAGGGTCTCTGCAAATCTACGATATAACTAAGAGGGGAGCATGTCCTTAGCGTTGGAATAGGTCTGCCTCCGTCTTTCCAGGGATTAAATCTTGTCAGAAAACACAAAAAGTAAGAACATCTCCAAAGGCAATTTGAGTGGATGGGAGAGAATCTCATGAAATGGAAGCGGCCAAATACGTTGCTAGGCCCTGAAGAAGAACAAGGCTTTGAGTGACCCATAAAAGCTATGAGTTTTCCCAAACACCACATGTTCTCACTCATAAGTAGGAGTTGAGCAGTGAAAACACATGGACACAGAGAGGGGAACATCACACACTGGGGCCTGTTGGGGGTTGGGAGGGAAGGGGAGGGAGAGAGAGCATTAGGACAAATACCTAATGTATGCAGGGCTTAAAATCTAGATGACAGGTTGATAAGTGCAGCAAACCACCATGGCACATATATACCTATGTAACAGACTTGTATGTTCTGCACATGTATCCCAAAACTTGAAATTAAAAAAAAAAAAAAGAACACTTTGAACATGGAAAAAATAGTTCATAAAAAAAAAGCTATGGGCTTTCTCCCTAGAAAAATCCATACATCACAACATCAGTTCAGTTCAGTACTTTCATAAGGTCCTCGTATCACCCCTGAAGCCTATCTGTGCCCCCCTGGGAGTCTACATGAGTACAGAGAGAATTGAAATCCACAGATTACCTGCAAACTTCATTTTAAGCTGCAGTTGCAAACCGTCTCCAACATTTCCCCACAAAAACAATATTAAAACCCCATGTGTTTTTCTATCAGATCAATTTAGCAGGAGAAGAATTGCCTGGTTTTCATTTGCGTTCTATTTGGCCACCAGTATTGTTAATTTCAGTAACAGAAATGAAGGGAATAAAAAAGAAAGTAAGAGGTAAAAGCTTGTATTCCCACACCAGAGATATCAAAAGTCTAACACTTTCTTTTTTTGGCTAAACCTTTAAGTTGACCATACCTTCCCTGGTAAACAGAAAGAGAAGAAAAGAAAGAAATTTCAATTTTTAAGAAAGGTTTAAGGTTTTTGTTCTTTTGAAGGATTACACTTTAACAGATTTTCAATCTGTTGGATTAGCTTTTTTAGAATGTTTTGCATTGCCAAGCTATGTTTTTTGTGAAGAAGTCTCTTTTGATTTTTTAAAGTAGTTATAGTTCATCTTTTTTCAAACAATAAATCTGATCTGTTTTTTGATATTGCTTTTTGATATTGTTTTTCAAACAATAAATCTGATCTGATCTGACAACTGGTATGTTGGGGGATCTAGTGAAGCCCAGGTTTTCATGAATTACACCTCAATTCAGTTATCAGGATTAACATGTTTTAATTCCAATTGGACAGCCCACTGTTAGCTGATACCTAATAGCAAATACCTAACTTCTAAGTTCCCCGGCTTGTCTCCCCTATTTCAACAGCACTACCCTTATCTCCCAGCCAACCAGCCCATAAAAGGTTAAGTTCACTAGTTTCCTTTGGAATATTAACATTTTGTAATATTGTGTACACGTGTGCATGCCATTTATAGCACTGAACCCTATTGATCCTTATCTCTATTATATTCCCTGATCTTCATTGCATCATGTAGATAACTGATCATGGGAAATCAGGCAGTCTGAATACTTTTTTTTTTTTTTTCTTGAGACAGAGTCTCGCTCCGTCTCCCAGGCTGGAGTGCAGCAGTGCAATTTTGGCTCATTGCAACTTCTGCCTCCTGGATTCAAGCGATTCTCTCTGCCTCAGCCTCCCGAGCAGCAGGGATTACAGGCACCCATCTCCACCCCCAGCTAATTTTTGTATTTTTAGTAGAGACGGGGTTTCACCATCTTGGCCAGGCTGGTCTTGAACTCCTGACCTTGTGATCTACCCGCCTTGGCCTCCCAACGTGCTGGGATTACAGGTGTGAGTTACCACACCCAGCCCAGGCAGTCTGACTTCTAGGTCTGCATTTGGGACCTCTATGCTTTCCTGCCTCCATAATTATTTTGTTTATGCAATAAAATAAAATAGAAAAAGCAGGTTAAAATGTTGGCTCTGCAGCACCAGCATGAAACGAATTGTGTCCACATCTCTACTGGAAAACAGCTTAGCAGTCGAATATATCACCCCAACAACCATCATCAGAAGAGAACCCTGGGACCTGGTGTAAAGTAAATGCTTGGTGTGAATCAATGGATGGCTGAGTAAATAACCCAAAATGAATGGCAAGCAGCAGGAATGGATTTGAGAAAAATCAACAATTCAGCAGGGCCCTCAGACATGGTGTGGGCCTTCCAAGGCCTGTGCGTGCTTGCTGCAGGGAAAGAGAGTAAACTAGAAGCCTAGTTTTGAAGGGAGACAGGTTACCTCCTGGCATCAGCTTCTGTTGATTACACACCGCAAGAGCCTAGAGAAGCAGCAGGTGAATCCAGTCTGGAGATCAGGGTTCCAGTTTCTTCTCTGCCCCTAAGAGAAGAAACCACCTCAGTTTACCTAGCTCTATAGTGAGGGTCTTGCAATTTCAAGTTCCTTCTGTGATAATCCAAGAAATAATAGGTCTAGCCAGTACTTTATGTAAACCACAAAGTACCGGTACAAGGTTGAGGAGGCAGCACTGACCAGGTATGTTCAGGGTAAACCCTCTAGGGGAGCGTTTCATAAATTGAACGTGCATTGGGCTCTCCAGGGAATTTTGGTAAAATGCACATCCTGCTTCATGGGTCTGGAGTGGGGCCTTAGTGATGCTAACAAGCTTCCAGGTGATGCTGATGCTGCTGGTCCGCGGACCACACTCCCGAATAGAAGGGGCTAGTAGGGCCAAACCTGCCTGAGAGGAGGGAGGTCCGGGAGATGGGGAGGATGGGAACGAGGACGGGAGAAGGGAAGCTGCTAGGAAGGAGAGTCCGGTGGGGGAGGAGGGGGTTCCAGGAGGAAGCGCGAGGCTGCGGGGCTGGAGCGAGGATGCGCAGACCGAGGCAGCGAGGCGGGGGTGCGAGAGCCTCCGCGGCTGCGCGGGCGCGTGCTGGTGGCCTCAGCGGCGGCTCAGTCCCGGCCCGCGCCCGCGGCACCCCCGCTGCGGCCCGAGCGGCCTGGCTGCGGGATCGGTGCGCAGCGATGGCGCGGCCGCCCCGGCAGCACCCGGGGGTCTGGGCGCCGCTGCTCCTGCTGCTACTGACGGGGCCCGCCGGCTGCGCCGCCAGCCCCGCGGACGACGGTGCGGGGCAGGGGGGCCGGGGACCCCGGGGCCGCGCGCGGGGGGACGCGGGCGCCGACGAGGCGGTGCCGCGCCACGACTCCTCCTATGGCACCTTCGCGGGGGAGTTCTACGACCTGCGCTACCTGTCGGAGGAGGGTGAGGCTGCGGGAGGGCCAGGGGCTGCGGGAGGGGAGACCCGGGGTGGGGGACGGAGGGGCCGGGGCGGGGCGGGACAGGGAGACCCGCGGCGGGGGACGGAGGGGCGGGAGGGAGGGGGTCGGAAAAGATGTCGGTGGAGGCAGCTCCGGCAGAGGCGAGGCCAGGATGGGGAGCGCAGTCCCAGACCTCCGCCGGCTTAGAGGAAGGGCCCAAAGAGCTGTCAGTACCTGCCGCCCGCTTTACAGATGGGGAGACTGAGGCTGGGAGAGGGAACGGTCACCCAAGTTCTGCAAGGCTGTGGATAGGGGTGGGCGCTGAGTCTAAGCTCCCCCAGTTCTCAGATCTGGCTTCCACCTTTGCCGCCTGGGGTTGCGTTGTAGGGGAGGAGGCCGCCATCTGGCCAGGGCAGTTGAAGGGAAGCAGAAAAACCCCAATCTAAAGAGAGAGGTTGCCTTATTTCCTCCCTGTCTGTATTGACCTAAATTTGCAGTGACCAGCGCCCACCTCGTAGCGTTCTGTTCCTGCTCACTGACCCATCAGAGGTGGGTCACATCAGCTTCCCCACTCCCATCCCTCTTCTTTTATGACGCCACATATGTTATGGCCTCCTAATGTGAGTCACCATTGTTGGGGCCTGCTGGACCCACAGACTGGGAGTTTGTCAGCCAAGGGCCTCGCTGTAGAGCTGCTTCAATGAGCACAAAAGCCAAGCTGATGGTGATCAGGAGGAATGGAAACTGGCCTCTTACTTTAGCAACTTTGGGAAGTAGTGACTTTCCTTTTCTTCTGCTTAAGAGGGATAGCCAACAATCCACCTGGGGGTTGAAGTGTTGAGTCCCAGGAGCTCATATCCGTTAGTGAACGTATCTGTTGTTAGCATTAAGTTCAGCTGTTTACAACAAGCACACATTAATAGCTTCAACAAGATAAAAAGTTTCTCTCTTACGGAAAGAAACCTGGAAATAGGTCGCCCAGAACTGGTGTGGAGGCTCCTTGGTCATCAGGGCCCCTGGATCCCGCCCTTCTGGTTCTTCACAGTTCTTAGCAATGTAACTTCATGGTTCAAAATAACTGCTTGAGCTCCAGCCATTATATTCACATTCAAGACAGTGGGGAAAAATAAAGCAGGAAGAATGTCACTGACTACTTTTATAAGGCAATTACTCAAAAGTTCCATATATTAATTTTTATACTTTTTTGGCCACAACTTAATCATGTGGTTGCACATAGGTACAAAGAAGAGTGGTAAGTACAGCCTATTAGCTGAGACATAATATGCCCAGTTCAAAAATCAGAATTATTGTATTAAAGAAGATGGAGAGAATAGATTTTGGGAAATGTATTAAGTAGAGGCTTAACTGCCGAAATAGAGATTTTAACATATAGTGGTTTAAATAAGATAGTATATTTTTCTCTCTAATAAAAGTCTGGTTGGTCTGGGGCTGGTAGAATGACTCTGTTCCACAAGGTCATTCAGGGACCCAGGTTCTTTCCATCTTGTTGCTCTACCATCCCCTAAGGCTTTGTCCCCATCTGTACAGTAGAAGCCAGGTTGCATGCATGTCCTTGTTCAAGATTGAACAAGAGAAGTTCAGGGCAAGTAGTTACCTTTTAGGCTGGCTGCACATACTACTGCTGTTCACATTCCTTTGGCAAAAACATAGTTACAATGACCTAGCTTTAAGGGAGGCTAAGAAATGTAGTCTTCTAGTGGGGAGCCATGTGGCCAGGAAGAAGGAGAAATGTGGGGAGGGAGGACAAGAAGCAGAAGCAGAATCTGTCAACCTGGAAAAGAATAAATATTCCAAAGTCCGTATGTTTCTGAAAGCATCTAGTGTATCTTTACATTGTACCCAGCCTGTGCTGCCAGGTGGCTTAAATGTGGCATTCTAGAGTTTATATTCTGATTGGGCTCATGCATCTAGCAAATGAAGGATAAAGTCAGATTCTGTACATCCTTTGACTCTCTGTACAGAGAGAATGATATGTTCATCATATAGTCCAGAAAGTTTTATGAACATGGATATCAGGTGGTCCACAGCCATCAAGAACAGCTTTATAGAGTCCAGCCATGAAGTAGGAAAGACTTTAGTGAGACAGAAGTAGGAAGGCATTTAGATGAGGTGACCGCACAGCAGGCAGCAGGGCTTGCTATATGTATACCAATCGCTAGTTTGTCTGTTTCCCCCTCCCACCATAAAACCAGTTTAACCCTCCTGAAGCCTGTCTCTAACCTGTTGGCATTGTATTCAAAAGTCTGTGATGGGGCCAGGCGCAGTGGCTCACACCTGTAATTTCAGCACTTTGGGAGGCCAAGGTGGGAGGATCACGAGGTCAGGAGTTTGAGACCAGCCTAGCCAACATGGTGAAACCCCATCTCTACTAAAAATATAAAAATTAGCCAGGCATGGTGGTACACACCTGTAATCTCAGCTACTCAGGAGGCAGAGGCAGGAGAATCACTTGAACCCAGGTGGCAGAGGTTGCGGTGAGCTGAGATCACACCTTTGCACTCCAGCCTTGGCGACAGGGTGAGACTCTGTCTCAAAAAAAAAAAAAAAATCCGTGGTGGTTTCAACCTGCTCCCTGAATGAATCTTCAGCTGCTTTATCTGAAATTTCCTCCCTGGTTCAATTTCCTTTTACAACCATGTTTCACCTCTCCCCTTCCCTCACCCTGAGCTTTCTGAGCTCTTACTCTCCATTCGTCTCCTACCCTCTTCTCAGTTTCACTTCCTCCCTGGATACAGATTCTACCACCATCTGGTAGGTGGGATGTAAGTGGCATGGGATTATCAGAGGCAGTGCCTTTTTTAGATTACCCTGGGCCTGGGCTTCAGCCCTGTGGGTCCTGAGTAGAGACTTTCCCAAGATGCTTAGAAATAAACAGTGATATTGCCTTCAAAGCAGGGATTGAGGAGGATTGCCAAGAGAGGGAAGAAGAACTAGGAGAGAGGGGTGTCCCAGAAGGCAAAGGAAAAGAGCCTGTTTCCTACCAAGGTGAGGCCTGCTAGCATGAAGACTCAAAATTACCCAAGGATTCAGGAGGTGAGAGGTTATGAGTGGAATTCTCCTAGGATAGATTTAGCGGAGAAGGAAGGAGGGAGCCCGACCTACCTTGGAGGACGTGGCAAGTGAAGAGGTGCAAGTAATGCCTTTGACTTAGCCTATCAATACACTTGAGGTTGTCCATTTCTAGTGACAGGGCACTTGTTCCATCTGTGCAGGGTACCCCCTTCTTATGTCTCAAATAGCCATGAAACTGAGTATAAAAGTCAGAAAAGGCCGGACGCAGTGGCTCACGCCTGTAATCCCAGCACTTTAGGAGGTTAAGGTGAACGGATCACCTGAGGTCAGGAGTTCAAGACCAGCCTGACCAACATGGCGAAACCCCATCTCTAATAAAAATACAAAAATTAGCTGGGCGTGGTGGTGGGCGCCTGTAACCCTAACTACTGGGGAGGCTGAGGCAGGAGAATTTCTTGAACCTGGAAGGCGGAGGTTGCAGTGAGTCAAAATCGCACCATTGCACTACAGCCTGGGCAACAGAGTGAGACTCTATCTCAAAAAAAAAAAAAATTCAGAAAAAAAATTTGAATAATGAGGTGGGAATGGAGATTCCGCTGAAATTATGAGAGAGCCTACTCACCATTACCTACCCTACCCAGAGACTGTTTCCCCACAGTATCCAAATTGCCTAAGACCCCCAAATCCAGAAGTGGGACGCTGGCTGATTTGCTATCTAAAAAAAATGATTACCCCCTAACATGGTCATTTTTAAAAATTTAAGTTAAGTTTTGGTTTAACTGTGCTAGTTTTCAGAACTCTTTGAGGGTCTCACTATCTAAGCCTATACTACTCATCCTTACAGTCTCAGCTCAAATGCCACCTCTTTCAGGAAGCCTTCCTGATTTTCTCCTCCCACTAGCCAAAGATGTTCTTCCACAGCACACAGTCTAACCCTGCCATGACCCTCTTTGCTCTCTACGGTCAGGAGTTCAGGTAGGGTCTTAGTGCTTGAATGCTACCACTCATACTTCTCGAGGTTCTTAACCCAGAATCTATATATTCAGAGCAGTGATAGAATTTGAAACAGATAGGCTGATGTGGTGGCTCATACCTGTAATCCCAGTACTTTGGGAGGTCGAGGCAGGCGAATCATCAGGTCAAGAGTTCGAGACCGTCCTGGCCAACATGGTGAAAAAAAAATTGTGAAACAGATTACCATTTGATTATGGGCAAATGCTCATTTCCGAGGGTTCTTTGAGGAAAAACAAACAAAACTGAGTTGGATGTTGGCTACAGGTTAAGTCCCAAATGAAGCTTTCTTCTCCCTGCTGCGAAGATGGCCAGGTTTGAGAAGCAGATGGAGTCTTAACCTAGCTAACTGATGTTAACTGCCTTACCCTTGGAGCCATACCCCACCTAGGAAGGGAAAGACAGAACACCATTCACGGTCACTTAGCTTTGAGGCATAGTTATCTGACCACTTGTAAAATGTGCCTCAATCAAGAATTTTCTGACCATTGAGTTCTGATCACAGTTTTTCTTGGGAAAGAGCTAGAGAGGTAGAGAGAAGGACAGAACATGGGGCAAAGGCCAGAAGTTTCATCAACCCCCTATATCCTTCCTCCATCTACCATGGACAGTATGTGGACATGTAACTTACCACTCTACTAATCTGGAAGTTCTTTAAGGGTAACAATTTACATCTAATTTATCTTTGTATCCTCCATGAATCTAGCCTGATCATAGTACCAAGTAGAGCAACTTTTAATATGTGCCGACTGTGGGGCAGGCACCGTTTTAAGTACCTTGTCCCATAGTAATTTTAATTCTTACAGCAACACTGCGAGTTAAATACTGCTACTATTGCTACTGCAGAGTTAAGGAAACTGACCCAAGGAAAGTTTGAATATTTTAGCTGAAGTGGCACAGCTATAAAGTAGCAGAGAACTGTGGATTTGTTGATTGACTTAATGGATAAGGTGGTGTAAG